TGTATTTACCCATTTTTCCCATTTCCTTGTCATATGACAATGGAAAGAAAACAACAACTCGGTTTTAACAACAGAGAATTAAGAACAAATATTGCCTTGCATAATTGTTATGAGGATTAAATAACACCAGGGCATGGCATGTCACCCAACATGCTCAAGGAAGGGTAGTTGCTGGAGCAGGGATGAGCCTGAATAAAGACTTCTGTTTGGTTACCCTTCTGACTAAAGTTGGATATATAATTCAAACAAAACTAGAACTGGTAAAATCTAGATGTTTTTTCTTCCTCTGTGAACTTAAAGGAAATGAAAGCAAGCTTATGGCATAATGTTTTTTACAACTACGTTTTGACTGACTGAGATGAAGAAATACCAAGAAGATACTGCCTTTTACAAATAGCCAAAAATTCAAAATCAAAATTCAAATTTTATTTTTCACATCATGAACTAAAAAAGATTTCTTTTGATGTTTTTATCTTGTGTCCTCCTAAACTCCACTCATTAACGAAAATAATGACTAAATGATGCTTCGGGATTAGCATTAATATTTCTCTGAATTTTAAAAATAACATTTCTAAACTGTAGGATGTCCCTGCTTTGTATTACTACACCTTCAGCATATCCAAACTCCAAACAAACCAATTAACTTTAGCATATCCCAACAGATATCAAAAGATAGTCTTCAATATTTTATAAAGTTAGTTTATACTCTATTAAAATAACAGAGCAAAGAGGATAAGGAAGAACAGTTGGATGCATGTCTTTCTTCATCCCATAAGGACAGAAAGCCTCGGAGAGAAGAATGGTATACAAATAAGTACAATATTTTTCATGATTACTGTCCTCTCATATTTTCCATCTGTAATTTCACCTATGCTTTATTGACATTTAATTTAGTTTTTTAATCTAAAATGCTCTAAAATTCCATAAAAGAAAATGTAAGACTCCTATAAATCTTTAATGTGTTTTGAACAAAAATGAGAACATTAGAAGTATTAAAATCCTTTAGTCACAAACGTGATATATATTTTGTGCTGGTTGGACAAAGTTTTCACGTTGGTGTTTGTCACCATGTCCATCACATGGACTCCTAAGTGATGGAAGAGGCCTGTATCTCCCTACAGAAGTACATATTTGGATTGTTCAAACATCACACCCTCTCCCAAATAATCTCAATAAGTCCTTTAAAAAATCAATACTGCAGTTTGATTTCTCTTTGGGTACAGCCCACAGCCAAAATACTGCCATGTGATGGCAGAGATCTAGGGGGTGCAATGAAAATATCCAAATGATACATTGTGTCAAGCAGAGTGTCAATGACGAGGGGAAATCTTTTCTCTTATAAGAAGCAGTTAGGTGGAAAGTATTCTACCCACATTCTTCTAAGAAACCCTGAAGGATCTGTCCGACGTGCTGAAAAGGTCCCCCCTGGAGAAGCCTTTGTAGGATGTGCACTAACCTGATGAGTTTAAGAAGCAGTATTTTCAAGTCCCAAACTAAACATCCTTTTAAACAGAAACTGAAATCTATAAAGGACAGAAATAGTCACAATTGATTCTTAAATGTGAAATTCACAGATACACGAGAGAAATTACAGGAGAAAATTCCTTGTGCTCTATGGTGGTAATGAGGGGCACAAAGCACATCTAACAAGAGGTAGCATACCTAAACACATCAAAACTCAAAAGAGTGTCTAGAATGTTGTATAACCAAGAGGATTCTACAGAAAACCTTGGCTTAACCCCCCTGGGAGAAGAGGCTGAACGTAGTAAAAGGCAATGTTAACTTGGCTGTCTCCAATGGCCAGAAGCCAACATTAAGAATACAGATTAGCTCTGGCCGAGTCTCAAGGGACCTAGAACAATAAAACAACATGCAGAGAAAGAAGCAAAAGGTGGGAGGGAGATTCTGCCTTCCCACGGCCTGTGTCAATTTCTTAGCGGGAAGTAAAGTGTTGGAGAATCTCTCTGCCTGGTTACTCAAGCTTACAATTCGGCTGAGGCAGCACCAGGATTGTGCCTAAATAAGCACAAGTGCTTGTTAACCTCTCTTCAATTTCCCTGCCCCGCAGCACCTGCTCTGGAGGGAAATGAGGGCGACTGGAAATTGCAGCACCAGTTCCAAGAGCCTTCCAGGCAGACTCTTCATTTCCCTTCGTGAGGTCCCAAGTCTGGGTTAGGCTCCGGTCACCGGTTAGCTCACGGGCCTGACTGGGGTTCTTTCCCCAAGTCACTGTAGCCTGGGTTCCCTCCTCGGCATGCTACTCATGCTGCCGCTCCCGAATAAATAGCAGGCTGTGTTTCCAAAGGGAAAGATGCAACCACAGGAGAGGAAAGAGCGAGAGGGCGCAGACTGGGGTTCAGAAAGAAGCACGCTAGCCTGAGTGAGAGCTGTGATTTCAGCACCACCCGCTGTCCCCCTCCTCCTGCAGCAGGAGCCACGGTCGCGGCATCTTACCGATCTACAGGGAAGCGATTCTCCTTCCTTCCCTCTCCACCTTTGCTTCTCCCAATTCCGAGCCCTCGGGTGGTTGGGGCAGCATAATCTGCATTCTAAACATGCGCACCTGGCCTTAGGGAGTGGGAACTCGGATCCGAAGGCATGCAGGATCCATTTCTCAATCCTTGCAGCCATTCCCTCCTTTATACCCCATTGCTCTTGATTTTTCTCCCAACAGGTTTAACTAAGGCCATCAGCAAACAGAGCAGACTTTAAGCTCAAGGTCTGACCAACCTGCTCCACGCTCTTCCCACTCCCAAACCAAACTGTGAGGTACCCAGCAAGCTGATAGCTCTTACATCCTTCCCGAGCGCAGGGACACTTGGACACACAGACCCTTAGCAAGCTTACCCCCCTGTTGGCCGCGCAGCGGGCAGTGAGACGCAGTCTAGCTAGCCCCCCATAAAGTTGGGCTGTGCTGATCAGCGGGGCAGAGCCAGCCTCTCCATTCCCAGGCTCCTCACTAAGAAGATCTTAAGCTCATCTCCTGTGCTCAGTGCGCACAGAACAGCAGAGCTGAGGGCGGCGTGTGCAGCAATCTCCCTGCTACTGAGAAATGGGGGGTGGGGGGGAAGGGGAGCTCGCGGAGGAGGGAGGGGTGGTAGTTTGTATTTATAGAGAACAGAGTTCTCAGCACAACTTTTTGGTGCCACCAAGTGGCACAGTGAGTTCCTTTAGGAACACAGACTTTGGGTCGAATCTGGATGGGTGAACCAGCTCCGAATCCAGATGCTCACATGATAAGAGGAATCAGGGGCACCCATAAGACTTGAGTTTTCCCATGTGCACCTTCATATCTCAGCATCTGGGATACCGATCCCTGAGTTCTAGGAGCTTGCATTAAGGGGGAAGAAATACTGTGCCCTCCTTGGACAAGTGGCAGAGGTGTCAAAGACAATGGGCAGATGCCACTTGCTTCCTAGGAGTCTAAGAAACCTTGTCTCAGGAACACTATCCATTCTCCTCTCCCTCCTAACCTCTCTGCCCAGATTACAGCATTCTCAGATCGCACTCTAAAACCTTCCTGCCATCTGGAATGCCCAATCTTTCAAGTAAGATGCCATTCATTTTCCTTGTTTAGAATCAATTCCAGATTATTTCCTAAACTCTCAGATTCAAAGAACTTCACAGCTTGCCACCAAACCTCCTTCTTTATTTGTTACCTTAAAAAAGCAAGTGACTTTAGGCTCTGTGGATCTGAATCTCTCCAAACAGCACTCAGAACTCTAGGTTCCTTTGGTTATAGTCTAAGTGTCTGCTTGTCCTTCTCAACCATTTCCACAGACCTCTCAGCCTGCATTACACCAACAGCACAGCCAGGAGCTTGCAAATGTCTTTGGTACTTTCAGGGAGAATGCCCTAAAGATTCATTTATCTGGATTTTCTGGGTGCTCTTCCTTCCTTGTATGCAGATCTAAAAACCCATAGATCACAGAAAGACATTACTCCACAGAACTTCTGTGCCCTCAAACACAGAAGAATCTCTATGATTTGCAGAAATGAAGGAAATGGAGAAACTGGGTACATAAAGGTTAAGAGACTTTTTCAAGGTCACACATTTTCCTAGAGACCAAATCCAGAACTACCCAGGGTGGGACTAAATGAACACACTGATACCAAGCCTGACTTCCAGGCTTCCTCTCCTTCTCCTCCCCCACCCCCATTCATTCATACTCAACTCCCTTTCCTCCCCAACCCCCACCCGTTCCTCTCTCTGACCCCATCCTTTTCCAAAGTTCCATAAAGAAATCTAGTGTAGGGATGTTTCCTTATCCCCCACTGGGAGTACTTGAACCTGAGCTTATAGGTCCAGAGTTACAGGTATACCCCCTTAAAAATGGCCCCCTGTTCTAGAAAACCTCTTCCTCCGTAGTGCAGTCATGCAAGTGTCATTTTAGAAATGGAACATTGGCATTCACACCCCGCCAGGTCTCTCTTCTGCTGCTTCTTTTCAGGGAAAAGCATTAGCGAATGCTCTTCCTAGCCCCCAAACACCTAATGGTCTCAAAGACCGATAAGCTCCCTTCTCCCTTGTTAGGCACCCTTTTGTGCACATGTATCGGTATGCGAGAAAGAGAGACCGAAATCCAAACGCCTCCTTTGGCTCAGATCTCTATTTTCTCCTCTGCTTTTTTTTTAGTTCGTTTTCTATGGAAACGAGCCCACTTAAGTCCCTCACTTATGCAAATAAAATCAAAATGATCTTCATAAACCTCTCGCTGGAGCGACGCCGCGGTAGTCTGGGCTTCTGACTAGAAATTCGTGTCTGATTCACATAGCACACGTCCTTGCAGGGTGACTTTTCTAAACTTGCAGGACGTCTCAGCGTCCCTGGCTCCACAATTCTCCACCTGCCCACCAGCTGCCCTCCTGGGTGCCTTTGCCCGCGCTCCCGCCCCTCGCCTGAATGCTGCCCGTCCCCGTGCTGGGGGAGGGGCTCCGGCGGTATTCTACTGCCGTGGTGGACTCTCAAGCTGAAAGAATGAAAACCGCGCTGTGCTTACCTGGCGCGCGCCCTGAGCCTGGCGACCCCAGCCAGCCGCTCCTCGCGGGCTTCCTGCGCTCGCGTGCCGGCCTGGGCTGCAGCTGGAGCGCGAGTGACGGCGACGGAGGCAGCGGCGGCAGGAGGCAGAGCGGCTCCGGGGTCCGTGGCGGTGGCGCTCTCGCGCGCGCCAGCGCCGGGAGCACGTGCCGCGCTCGGGCAGACGCAGCTGGAAGCGCAGCGCAGGGCCGCTTCCTACTCCTGCAGCGCGCGGTGCGGCGCGGCGGGGTGCGGGTGTGGGCGTTGGACGGAGCAGGGCACAGACTCTGTGGGTAATCTGGAGCGTGGAGCTTCGTGGTCTCGGGGTGCAGGCGAGAGTAGCCTCGGGCTCCCTCTGCAGCGCTTCAGCTTCCTTCTGGGAGCCGCGGAAGGAGAAGAGCTGTGCGTGGAGGCGTGGGTGGTGTGTCACTCAGAGAGAAGCTGGGGGAGCAGGTAGATAATAAGCTTCATCCTGACGCTGGCACTTAAACCCCTGACAACGATTAGGAGAAGGGGCGTCACTGCTGGAGGGTACAGGGAACTAGGAAGTCAGGGAACCCCAAGATGATTCAGAGGTGTGAGTGCTGAGAAAGAACGGTCTCTTTAATGGCATTACTTATTAATAATGCCATTTCGCATTTGTCTGCACTTCTTACAAACGATTCTTTCTATATCCATTAAAATTTCTCTCTCCGTAGTAGTTAAATATGTTTTACTTACTCAAATGACTTTCCTTTCCCTCCCCCACCACCCCCATAACTACCAAGACTGTAAAAAATGCTGAAGTTATCTTTAAATTCCAAAAACAGACTTCATTTCCGCCCTTGAAAAAGAGATTGGTATAAATTAATTGCATGGCTTAATTTAAAGAGAAGAAAGACATTGCAGCAATAGGATTATTACTATTCCCATTATACTTCCCTAGCTGAATTCTAGGAGCCAGGTGCTTGCAGCAGTTGAGTGAAAGACTGAAAGCTGAGGACACTCAGGTTGAAGCGGATGGTCCTGATGAATACATTACCAATGTAGATTTCCCAGGAGACCCTTGAAAACAAAACAAGTTGTTCTCTGATTGCTTTGGATTCAACCAGAAAAAGATACCTTATCTACCACACCTTGTTGATCTTCAAAATGGCATCTTTCTTCTCCCCATTTTCTTGTGCACCCTGATGGTGGCATTGTTAATTTCTCAGATTCTTCTATTGCAATCCAGGAAGCAAGCTTTAGTACTTTGTAGACAGGCCAGCAAAGGTGCAGTTGACCTTCCTGAATGAGAAAGATGAGAAAGATGGTATGGATGAGAAAATACAAAAATAGTGAGAGTACCCAGGAAAATAAAGGGGAACTAATGGCTAGCTGATTCCAGAGATGTGTTTCAGCTTGATGTACAAAATGATTTGTTTGCCCACTTGTCTGGGGCACTGAGGATAAGGAGGTCACAAATTTGATCCTGGCCTGGACTACTCAGCTTTGAGTGAGCATAGGACACACTGTTTCCCATCCTTCCTCCTCAGCTGGAACTAGCTCAAAGCACATCAGTGAGTGAGCTAAACCTAAGTAAGAAGGGGTTCTCATGGTGGCTACTTAGTTACTTAAACTCTTCGATTTCCTATGCATATTTCCTGCCCTTCTATCTGCCATGGTTGTGGAGAGGATGGGATGAGATAACACATGTCACAGCATGTCAGAAATGATAAAGCACTCCATAAATAGAATACCTAGTTTACCAAGACATATCCACTTCTGAAAGTTAAAATGCAAAGGACATTCCCCATGTTGAACAATAGTGATATTTTCAGCAGAGAAGGAAAACACAATTATATAATCTTGAATTGCTCAATGACAATTTACAGTATAGCTTTACCTTACAATGGTAATGTGCTGAATTAGGTAAAATTAAAATTTAAAGGAGCAAAGAAACAATGTTTTAAGTCCCCAAAATAAGTTTTCATTGTAAAATGTTCAAAGGTATTTCTTTTGCCTTAGGATGTGCTATTAATAATCAAAATATTATAAATCTTATGTAGAATAGTGTAAAGAAATGAAAAAGTTATTTATACTTATAACTTTAAATTTAAAACTTGGAATTTTCTTTGATTCCTTCCTTTCTCTCACAGATGATAATTGGTCAGAAACTGGCTCTACCTTTGATATGTATCCAAGAATGCTACCACATCTAACCACCTTCACAGATACTGGTTGAATCAAACTATCATCATCTTTTTACCTAATTACAGCAATAGCTTCCAAACTGGTCTTTCAGCTCCTTCATTTTTCTCTATAGGCTATATTCAACACAGCAGCCAGAGTGGGTTTTTTGTTTTGTTTCGGTTTTGTTTTCTAAGGAAGTTAGCTTAAATCAAAACCCTCCAGTAACTTTCCATTTTACTCAGAGTCACACACAAGTCTTCACTATGACTCCACATAATCTGTCCCCACTCCATTACCTTTCTGACCTCATTTCCTAGTACTCTTCCCTTTTCTTTGCTCCTTCTGCTCCGTCCACCAGGACTCCCTTGCTATTTCTTAAACATGCTGACATGCTCCAATCTAATGGTCTTTGCATGAGCTGTTTCTTCTGCTTGGAATGCTTTGTCCACATGTTATCTTTGGGCTCAATTCTCTCCTTCAATCTTTGCTAAAATCTTATGCCAAACAAGTGTTTCCCAGACTACCCTATTTAATAGTACAAACGATTCTCCCTCAGGATCTTGGTGTTTCTGATCCCCTTTACCTAATTCTGTTTTCTCCCATAGCTCTTAATACAGTCCCGTATACTATATCCTTTTCTCATTTGTTATGATTATTGTTTATTGTCAGTCTATTCTCTTCCCTCCCATTAAATGTGAACTCAAGAAAAGGAATCTTTGTTTTATTGATATATTCCAAACACTGAGAAGAAAATTCTAGCACATAGAAACAACTCACTATGTTTGAGTGTTTAAATGAATCTGTAAATAGAGGTATGCATCCTTCACTTCCCTAGTTGGCATCACTGACAGTAAGTCATGTGACTATTTGCAGGAGGTCTGCGAGATTACTGAGGCACAGCCCTTGTGCCCAACCTGGGCACACTACCCCACCTCTTACCCTCTTCTCTCTTTGCATTTGTGCTTCATAAACTTAGCCAGTTCATGTTCTAGGCTCCAAAAGGATTATTGTAATCCTAAATGTTTCACAACTATCTGGTTATCTCAATCCATCAACTAACAGATCATAAGTAGCCTTTTAAAATAATTGGTCTAAGTGAATTGATTTTCATTCCTTTAATGGTAACTCATCAAGCATGTATTTTTTTCTTTTTTTGCCTGTTTCTATAAAAAGAACTGCAGTAGAATGTTGAACAAAATATGGGCTTGACTTTAGAAAACCTAACGTTATTAAGTATTGTGTACGAGCATATTGATTTATTCATACTATTTATTGTATATTTATTAAACTACCATGCACCAGGCATGGCTACGTGTTGGGGATACAATGGTAGATGAACTAGAATTGGTCTTTGTCCTTATGGAGCTTAAAGTCAAGTAAGGTTTGGGTCACACAAAGTAATACGTCTTGCAGCTTGTGGGCTGGGCAATGAAGAACTAAACAAGGTAAGTTATAAAGTGTGGCATGAAGAAGAGACTGGATATCTTTCCATAGAATGTTAAAATAATAAAACATAAGGAAAATTCTCTCTGGGATTGTAATATTAGGTAAAGATCCAAAAAAGTCAACTATGCAAAGGATGTTGTATGTGTGTTTGCGTTTATATGGGTTGGAGGTGGGGAGAAATGGTTGATAGAGTGAAGAAAGGAAGGGGTTTACAGTCATAAGGAACAACAGCTGGAACTTCTGAGGCAGGAGAACACTCGCCATGTTTTAGAAAGTGAAAAGACTGGTGTCATTGAACAAGAGCTTGGAAAACCTTCACTGTATCTCAATATGCTCAACTGCAAAATGGAGGCTGTTATTTTATCAGGTCTTATTTAATAAATTTTAACTGGCTATATTTTAATTTTAATTCAATTAATTAACATATAATGTACTATTTGTTTCAGGGGCACAGGTTTGTGATTCATTAGTCTTATATAATACCCAGTGCTCATTACCACACATACCCTCTCCAATGTCCATCACCCATCCAATCCCTCCCTCTCACCCCCTCAACACCCTCCAGCAACCCTCAGTTTGTTTCCTGAGATTAAGAGTCTCTTATGGTTTGTCTCCCTCTCTGATTTCATCTTCTTTTATTTTTTCCTCTCTTCCCCTATGATCCTCTGCCTTGTTTCTTAAATTGCACATATCAGGGAGATCACATAATTGTCTTTCTCTGATTGACTTATGTGAACGAGGCAATTATACATAAAAGTCATTAGAAATAGAAAATGAAAGCCATGCAGAAAGAGGAGGTGAAAAACACTCCAGTATTTTGACTAGTGCTGGATCTGTGGTCTACCAGGAAATATTTAATTATGAGTTCACTATCAAACAAAAAGAAGAGGGCAAATGTCTTACCTAATTATTATTATGTAATGTAAAAAAATGAGTTTGTTTTTCCAAAATATTTTTGTTAGTAAGTTTTAATATCATTATATAGACACTTGTATAAACTCCTTAAAGACTCAAGACCTTCAACAAGGATTTTAGACAAAAATACAAACCTTTTTCATAGGTTTTTATAGACACAAACTTATATATTATATAAAACTCCAATCTAGCTTCCAGGCAAAATATGGAAATTTAACTCAAAGAAATTGTAACTTATGGGTCTAGGGTTATTTATCTCTCTATTCTCCAAGCATGCCAGATTTAGAATATGGCCCCAGGAATTTTTTTCATTTGTCCGATACTGGGTAAAAAAATATAATAAAAGAGCTTTATTTCTCAGTACTTGAGAAACTACAAGTATTTCAGTCAGTGTTTTCCAGGACAAAGTCTTGTCCAACCAGTGGTCTTGGAAACTCACCTCCACTCTGTGATCACTGGCCATATTTCACCCTGTCATTATGATAGGCAAAACCCTTTCTTTCCTGGATGCCCAGAGTGAAAAAGGAGATCTAATTAGATTTTGAGCCTGAACCCAAAGGGTGTTTCATAGTGCCTACTGGATTTCAAACCTAACAGATTCACACTTGAAAACTGGCTCTGACTTTTTGGGCCAGAGGGGATTGGGCAAGCTACTAAACCTCAAAACCTCATTTTCTAATGTGGAAATGAGAAAATGGAAAATATAATTTGAAAAATACC